GTAAAATAAAATAAACTACTTTGAAATTAAAATGACAGACACATCTATCACTGTCAAGGATCTTCTCGTTGGACAGACTATACCAAATTTCATTAAATTATCTTCAGTGGTATGAAAAATATGATAAAAACAATTTTTTTCTTAAAACTCTAACACCCAGTAGCTTGAAAACTAAGCATTTGCGGACCCATGTTTGACCCATGACACTTTAGCCCTAATATATGCCCAAGAATCACCCCTTTCAGTATTATCGTTTACTTACCGGACGCCCCACTATGGGGTATTTTACCCCAAAACCTGGCCAATAATATTTTTATTTTTTTTGCATTCTTCCGCCTTTTAATACGTGAGAAAATAAAGAAATTGCTTCAAATTTTAATACATACCTAGCGTTTTTTTATTGACAAGATTAAGTCGAAACTCCCTCGAGTATTGACAATAACATGTCAATACTCGAGGGAGTGATTCCTCAGGTCATTTTATGGAGAAAAGTTCCCATAAACATAGATCCAGAAAAGCATTGTTTCTAAGATACAGGGCGTTGAAAGTGAAAAACACTACATTTTTATTCGATTAAAAAAAATTGTAACTGCCAAACTCGCAAAAATTAGCAACATTTCTTATCAAGGTCTTCTAAAGGAATACTTAAGCTACAAAACCAGCCAGATTGATATAATTGATAAGGTTCGATTACATACTGAAAGTTGACATAAACATTCTGTTATAAATGAAATAATATGTCTATTAATGGACTAGCAGATTAATATTGTTCTAACTAAAAAATAACAGTTATACTAAAGAGTAATACTCCCATATTATATTCCAAACTAATGTAAGATCAATAAAAGATCGCGATTAGTAAGAAAAACTAAGATAATTATTGTTAAGTAAATTTTGTAAAAGCACAGCGATACACAGCCCGTCTATTCGAAGAACAATTTGTGATTGGCGCGGATTGTAACACCGGGGGACATTGACCCCCACCGCCCGCCCTCGTATACATTCATGTTTATACAAATAATTGATATCGGTTGGTTGATATGTTGAATTTAGATTTTTGAATATTGGCCAACTTTTTGGGTTAAATACCCCTTAGGTATATAGATACCCCTGTAGATATATATACCCCTTAGGCATATATACCCTTGTAGATATATAGGGTATCTTTTTATAATCTACAAGTTGAGCGTTTATATACTCGCCCAGTGGGTACCGAGTGGGCGTGGCAAAAACTAGCCAACCGAGTCAGAGCCAACTGAGCGTAACAGTTAGATTTCCGCCACTAGAGTAGTAGGAACAAAGAACTTGAAGGAATTGGACCGTTGTCTCTGTTCATACTATCTTTACATTTATTAATGCCTTGATGCTATATGCATCTAATTGCCTGTACTTCAGACTTGTTTAATTAATTTTAAATTATTAAGATCTATACAATGTTCTTTATCAACAATATGTTGGCAACGCAAGAAGTTATTTCACCATATCTTATCTGAGCTTAAAATGTTCTTTAAATCTAGTTAATATTGATCTTCTAGTTTGCCCAACATATTTCTGATTACAATCTTTACAAGAAATTTCATAAATACCCGACCTTTCCAGTGGAGATGTTTTATCCTTTGGATAATTTATTATTAGCACTATACACAAGTTTATAATTGACATTCTTAAAAATTCCTTTTAGACCACGGGTTAACTCTATCAATCAAACGGTATCGAAAAAATATTTAGACGTATCTTTCCTCCACTTGAAAAGTCGAATTTTCAGAAATCATTAACCCATACCTACGTTTTCTAATTAATTTATCAACTAGTGAAGCGAAGAATATCCATTACACTCAGCTACATTCCTAATGTCTCTTTCTATTTCATATTCTTTCGTTGGAAAGGGGAAACTAAGTAATCTATGAACTAAGAAATTAAAACCAGCCATTTTATGTTCAACACACATGATGTGATTCATTAGGAATATATCTGCGTGTGGTCGTATTTTTCCTATAGATATCAAATTCCAGGCAATTATTAGCATTTCTAATAACTAATACATCTAGAAATGGTAATCTGTCGTTGTTCTCAATTTCGCGTAAATTTAATGGAAGGAAAACGATTATTTAACTTAGAAATAAAATTATCTATGGTGTCTGAATGTGTGTCAAAAAACAGCAAAAATATCATCCACATACCTAAACCAAACTCTTGAAAATACAACTGATTCTTAGCCTCCACTTCAAACCTGCTCATGAATAAATTAGCCAAAAATGGAGATAATGGATTACCATTGTTGCCTTCCCGCTGTTCAAAAAAGTTGTTATAATTGAAAACAATTTTGTTTCATACATAACAATGTAAGCTCAATATATTCAGCATCAGTTTTGTTGTCGAGACCATTGCGTTAGTAATTCCTTCCAAGCTGCCCAAAAGTATGTGGAATTGAACACTTACTTAACAACGAAATGATAGCATCAAAGGAGACCAAAATTTCAACCTTCATGCACCAGTTTATCTTAATTTAAATTGAATTCAATATTATTTTTAATCTGCTAAAGAAGGTTCATGATCAGTAAATTCTCGAACTCCTAACCCATTTTGCCAAATATGTCGGGAGAACCTACAGCCGATGGTTGGGCGCATAGACTTGTCCGGTTTATGCATTTTGGCAAAGCATACAATTTTGGTAATGAGGATTGGATACTTGCAATTTCCTCTTTAAAGAAAGATCAATAAGGGTGTTACATTCTTTTAGAGTTTTTTAACGTCTGCTACCATCTTAGACAAAGGATTCTTTTTCAAATTTATGTAGGGGCCATTATCGATTAAGTTGTTAACCTTATCGTAATAGTCTTTTTTATCTAATATAACAACCTTATTTCCCTTATCAGCTTTTAGGTAGAAACAATCTTTGTTACGCAAACTCTTGACAATATTGTGCTCCTTGTTAGATTTTAATTTTAATTGCAAGTATCCAATCCCTCATTACCAAAATTGTATGCTTTGCCAAAAAATCATAAACCGGACAAGTCTATGCGCCCAATTGTATCGGCTGTAGGTTCTCCGACTTATAATTTGGCAAAATGGTTATCAGGGAGTTCGAAAATTTACCTGATCATGAACCTTCTTTCGCAGTTAAAAATAATATTGAATTCATTAACAAAATTAAAGATACAACATTGCATGAAGGTGAAATTTTGGTCTTCTTTGATGTATCTTCGTTGTTCCCAAGTGTTCCAATTCCACATACTTTAGGCTACTTGAAGGAATTACTGAACGCAAATGGTCTCGACAACAAAACTGTGAGTGAATATATTGAGCTTACATCGTTATGTATGAAACAAAATTGTTTTCAATTTAATAACAACTTTTTTGAACAGCGGGAAGGTACAGAAATGGGTAATCCATTGTCTCCATTTTTGGCTAATTTATTCATGAGCAGGTTTGAAGTGGAGGCTAAGAATCAGTTTGGGTATTTTCCAAGAGTATGGTTTAGGTATGTGGATGATATTTTTGCTGTTTTTGACACACATTCAGACACTATAGATAATTTTATTTCTAAGTTAAATAATCGTTTTCCTTCCATTAAATTTACGCATGAAATTGAGAACAACGACAGATTACCATTTCTAGATGTATTAGTTATTAGAAATACTAATAATTGCCTGGCATTTGATATCTATAGGAAAAATACGACCACACGCAGATATATTCCTAATGAATCACATCATAGTGTTGAACATAAAATGGCTAGTTTAAATTTCTTAGTTCATAGGTTACTTAGTTTCCCACTTTCCAACGAAAGATATGAAATAGAAAGAGATTACATTAGGAATGTAGCTGAGTGTAATGGATATTCTCCTTTACTAGTTGATAAATTAATTAGAAAACGTAGGTATAGGTTAATGATTTCTGAAAATTCGACTTTTCAAGTGGAGAAAGATACGTCTAAATATTTTTCGATACCGTTTGATAGAGAGTTATCCCGTGGTCTAAAAGGAATTTTTAAGAATGTCAATTATAAACTTGTGTATAGTGCTAATAATAAATTACAACAATTATTAGGTAATCCAAAGGATAAAACATCTCCACTGGAAAGGTCGGGTATTTATGAAATTTCTTGTAAAGATTGTAATCAGAAATATGTTGGGCAAACTAGAAGATCAATATTAACTAGATTTAAAGAACATTTAGCTCAGATAAGATATGGTAGACCGGATAAATCTTGCGTTGCCGAACATATTGTTGATAAAGAACATTGTATAGATCTTAATAATTTAAAATTAATTAAACAAGTCTCAAATTACAGGCAATTAGATGCATATGAAAGCATCAGAATTAATAAATGTAAAGATAGTATGAACAGAGACAACGGTCCAATTCCTTCAAGTTCATTGTTCCTACTACTCTAGTGGCGGAAATCTAACTGTTACGCTCAGTTGGCTCTGACTCGGTTGGCTAGTTTTTGCCACGCCCACTCGGTACCCACTGGGCGAGTATATAAACGCTCAACTTGTAGATTGTACTTTAGTTTATAATCATCTGCTGATGATGCTAACATGGTTAGTGAAACGCGCGTCCAGTGTAAAAGTAAAAGTGTTTTGGTGTATTGTGGTGATTTAGTGTTTTTATTTTGCTGTTTAACACCAAAGGTTCCAACCCTCAACTGTAATCTTTTTATGTTATGTTATTATGTAAGAATAAATTACATCGAACACTTTGGAATTTTTTATTTCAAAAAATAAAAGCCGACACGGTTTTGATTTAACTTTTCTTAATGATTTTGAAAATACATCTGAATTAAACGAGTTCTTCTCTTAGTTGTCCCTCTGCTACTATATTTCTCGGAAACAACTCTTCGTTAACAGGGTCATCCACATCTTCACCAGCCATGGCATCCTCGTCCTCTAGATCTAGATTGGCCCTTATACACATATTGTGTAGCACACATACCATACCATACCATAGCATGTAGCACACATACAGCACTAACTATTTTCCCTGCTTTGAAAGGTTCATAATGTAGAACTCTCGCCTTCAGTAGGCAGCGAAATGGGTTTTTCAATGCCCCTAAATTCAATTGTAAGTTATTAATATGACCAAATCAAATACATTTTACCTAACTATACATCTTTCCACACAGTTCCTGGTTCTTGCTAACGCTGCTGTGTATCTGCCTTCAGGACTTTCTCTAGGCATATCCCTTATTGGAGTCATCAACCATGGCTCTTGAGGATAGCCATTGTGACCAAGCAGCCAACAGTTGTGGTCACGCTGGTAGTATTGCTCCATATCTGTTCTTAAATTGGAATTTCGCCACATAAATGAGTCATGTGTCGCACCTCCATAATTGGCCTTAACGTTTAGTATTATCAAATTTGCGTCAAATACGATCTGCACATTTTTTGAGTGATATCTCTTCAGATTAAAATACAAATGTTCATCAATTTTGGGAGATACAATGGCTACATGGGTACCATCAATACACCCTATCACCCCTGGAAATTGAAACTAAAAAATAAAAATATTGATAAATTGATAAATTCTTCTTTCTTTGCCTGTTTTTCAGCTTCAGATATAGGAAATTTAATCCACTGAGGGGCAATGGCCTCCAAAGCTGAACATACTTCACTTAATGCCCGACTAAATGTGGGCTGGGCCACAGGTACTAAAATCATCTCCGATGGTCTTTTGATAGGAGCCTTGTGCGAAGAACCTTAAAGCACCCAAAATTCTAATTTCAGTGAGAATTTTTCCTGCTCTAATACTGGAGTAAGTGGAGTAAAGTCTATAATTAGCTGCCGGACAAGATTCCTGAAGCCGGAAACATTTTCGAAACCGTGTTTCCGCCATGTCAAAAGGATTGGATTCATCCCTCAAGACTATCCTTTGAAGTCTCAACTGTGCCTGCCGCTCTTCTTCCTCTGCCTCGTCCACAAAATATCTAAATATAGGATCCATGATCACTTATTGTTTAATTAGTACAGGCTCGGCTAATAGTCAACACTACACAAAGACGAGAAAAATTTAGTTCAACAAATCACTAAACTTATTTTTTCTAGCCACTCCACTCGTGGTCACGAATCAATACACGAATGAAGCAAGAATAGTAAACGTAAACAAAACAAGAAAAAATACCAAGTCCATTTATTATGACATTAAACAGCTGTGTGCCAGGGCTTCCAACAAAAAAACACCGAAAAGCGCGATGTTTTTAGATCGAATAGTTGTTGATATCTCTTTACCGAGTTCATCCGAATGAACTTGGAAATATGCTTATAGAATTCGTTTTAGACATGTCTTTTCGGGATGGCGTAAAAAATCCTAATGTGAATTTTTCCTACTGCGCGAGATTTCTAATTCTCGCCCGACCTACTCGGTTCGGCCGTCATCGGCATGGATCGAAATCCTTGAGATGTAAATTCTACATGAAATGAAGGAAAAAAGCGTGTTAAATTTGTCAACGTCGCTCCTCGCACTCGCAGTCGCTATGGAGAGTTGAGACTAGAAAAGTTAGAGGCAGGCCTGGTGCTCCATACGTTAAGTTAGAAAGTGATATAAAAATAAAATGTTATAATTATGCAGACGCATTGAGTATTGATAATATTTTTAATCGGAAACAAGAAATAATAATTAGTGGTGTGGTATGGCGATTAACTGGAAATTAAATTAAACATTTTTATATAACTGATAACTCTTATGAAGAAGGGTGAAGGGAAAAGAGACAGATGAAGCAGAAAAACAAACTAATTTTATTGGAAATTAAAACAAAATTGTAATTTTGACAGTTAATGTTTTTTTTTAGAACATTAGAACGTTATAGCACAAGCATCACGAAGGAGAAGCAGGAAACATACAAAGATAAATATATTTTACAAACATATTATGTGCAGTGACTTTCTAACATAATTAATTCTTTTCAGAATCAAGGTCCATCATATACACAGCAAAATTTAAATAGTTATATATGTTTAGAGCTTTCAAAATTAAAGATATATGATGTCATGAGAGTGTGTATTATTGGTTGCCTATGGTATAATTAAATAAATAAGAGCTGAGAATTCTAATAATGACAATAATCCAAATACGTTTAAAATAAAGTATACGGAGGGTACCGCTTAAATTCCTGTCCCGATATTGAAGGATGGCTATAGAATTTCAATGCATTTCCTACATAAGTCTATCCTTGGTTTGTAGGAGGTTTGACTAAACAAGGATGAACCTATGTCTTGAACATTCGACTCGATTTTCTGTCCTTCTTCAATACTGGGACGTAAATCCTCTCATTGCTCTTATGGGGAGACAGTCGTATATTTTATTTAAACGTATTTGCAATAATCCCTAGAGTCAATTTAGAGGTTAACTATTCTCTGGGTTAACTGAAAAAAAAAATGTTCTCGAGTCAAAGAGTATTTTATTTATAAAATTACCCAGAACATCACAATTAAATAATTTTGTATTTTAATTTAGAGACTTTAAGGAACGTTTTTAGGCTATTTTGAGTTTACTGAAGAAGTTTAAGGTACTAGAAAAAAACATTTTCCCCCAACTCAACCTTTTTACCACCCCGTAAATGATATTGCAATTCAATTTTAAGACCTTAGTAAGGAAATTTTTTCAAAATATTTCGAATTTATTCATGAACTTTAAGTCGGTCAAAATAAAGCATGGAAGTTGGTATTATATGAAATGGTTTATTATAAAATATAAATGTATGATAAAATAAAATAAATCAAACCGTAGTCCCTCTGGTATTCTAGTGACTGCGAACTGCGGGTGGCTGGTGAAAAACTGCTACTGAAGGTGAGCGTAGGTATACCTACACCTACCTATAAACAAAAAAATGTATGAGTAATGGATTTAACAACACCGTCAAATTAAAGATTGGGTAAAATACATTACATATTATTATTTAAAACAATATCTACCCAAAGTGAATATAATTTAAAATGTTAATAATCTTATTTTAATTATTAAGTCTAGGAAAGAAATGTGTCTTTTCCATTTTAAAAAAGGTACATACCAAGTACATACCTTTTTGTTCTATTGTAACTATGGTAACTAACTAGACACCATTTTGCCACCGTTGCTGCTCGAACTACTAGAAATCACCTTCTTGGCAATAATCTGTAAAAATATATAGATAAAAATTTACGTTACACATTATTCATTACGAATTAAAATTATAATTCATTTTAAATTATTTGGAAGCCAACTACTGTCAAAACTATAACACCGAGACAGAGACCGAGGTACTTTATTTTTACTTACCGCTAATATATTCCACTATTATTATTTTCACATCTATATCTTCATATAATTGCGGATCCAATCGGAGTTGGATTATCCAGCTGCCAGTACTTGTCCTCCACTTTGAGAGATGATCTGAAAGTATTTTATTACAAATTAATTAATTACCTTGCTATACATGCTAATCAAATTATAAGTAAACCGAAACATTATGGATACTGAATATTTTGTTTTTTTTTAATACATAACTACAAAAGATAAGCACAAATGAAATTTCCCACCTTCTGGCTTCCTTTTTAAATAATCCTTCCATTTTCAATTCACAATAATTCACTCCGTTCAGTAACGAACAATAATTCACTCTGTCTAATATACTTACGAAAATATGAGAATACTGGGCAACAGTGTTTTTTACTTTCCGAAGACGTTCGGGCGCAATCGTAATATTAGGAAAACGTGGAATTAGGAAATTCTTGGCACTCCCGTCTTTTCTATGTCTATCCCTTCTCTATTTCTATCTCTCTGTCGTTACGGAATACGCCTCCTGGTTTATTGGCACTCGATATCGTTTTCGTTCGGCTGTTTTCGCGTATTTTTCGCTAGCGGTACTATTAATCCTACAAACATTAACAACTGAAGCGCCTGATACAAATTTTGGTGTTATTTTCGTCTTTGTTTATCGCACATTTAGATAATGTGGAAACATACTCCGGCGGGTAAACAGAGAACGCATAGAACGTTTCTTTACATGATAGATAACCTAAGCAAAAATTAGTTTAAATATTAAAACATCTTCAGTAAAAAAAAAAATAATAATCTTTATTATATTATTTTGATTATCAAAATGAGGGTAAGGGCCGAACATTGGAACTTACTGTTAAACGTTTGCGAGAAAAATCCGGAATTAATAACAATTAAATTTAATGGTACGGAAGGAAAGGCAAAAAGCAATGCCTTATGGCAAAGTGTTTCGGTACAATTGAATAGTTTAGGATATGGTGTAAAAAGTAAGTATGGTGTTATCCACAGACCTTTATTAATCTGGAAATAAGTTATAAATTAAGTGGTAAGAGTAATAGCACAAACTTATATTTATTTTCAGACGCTTACTGATTGGAAATGCAAAACAAAATCAAAGGCCTCTACCATAAAAATGGAGCAGCAACGAACTGGTGGTGGACCCCCTCAGGTTCCTCCCTTAACAACATTAGAGGAAAGACTTTTAAAAATTATGGGGAATAAGACAATTTATGGTGACGAGATAGTGCCCGAGTTAGGATTTGGAAAAGTAAGTGCTATGTTAGTTGAAAAAAGTCACAAAGGCATTTACATTATCATGTTCTTTAATTGGTTTGCTAATTAAAAAATTAATATAATTTTTTATAGGTCGAAATTCTCAAAAATATGGAGACTGATGCACCTTCCACCAGTGCCACACTAACTCCCAGTGCCCCATTAAATGTTGAGATTAATGCAGCATCCACCAGTGCCTCACTAACCCCCAGTGTAAAAAGAAAGTTAGAGTACAAAAGCACTCATTCAAAAAGGTGTCATTCGGGCGAGCTCCTGAAGCCCAGTAAGGAAACTGTATCAATATTGAAAGAACTCAACTCTAATACTAATAGTATGACCCAGTCCCTTGAGAATATTAATAAAAACACGGATATAATTGCACTGTCCTTATCAAGAGTGGCTGATGCATTGTTGCAATAAATAAATGATATAAAGTTGCTTTTATTGCCCCTTAAATTACAATTTAGAAAAAAATAATTGTTAGAAAAATCAAGAAAAGTTGGCTGGTGCTCATCATATTCACTTTTTACTTTGACTGTTGGCTAATGTTAAATATAACATTCGTTATTTTGTATGAGTTTGAGACACAATATATAGTATTTACGAAGTCAATTGGAAATGCTGGGACTCTTAATTCGTTTGTATAGATCAGGGGTGGGCAAAAGCCGGCCCGCGGGCCGGATCCGGCCCTTTTGCTAATTTTATCCGGCCCGTTGAAAAATTCCGCACGCAAATTTTTTTAAACTCTTATGAGATTTTGTTGACATCAGCATTATTAGTGTGCGTACTGTATATATAATAGGCTTAATAAAATGGGCGGTCGGCTAACTACACTAGTGTGGACGATGTCGCGATCTTGAAACAATCCTCGTGTGATTCTCACGTGGGTCGCTCACGACGATCGCTCTCAAGGCGGTTTTTTCGTTGAACACAAAGGAGATCGCGCTAGGTTCGAAATGCATGTGGACGGCATATCAGTGGCGGATCTGGGGTGCTGTCATAAGTGAGGCGAAAATAAAAATACACATACCGATGTACATGCAAAGTAATTTGTTATTATATTCTTGTTAATATGAAACATAAAATAATAATACTATTTACAAATTTACATGAATTACCTAGGCCATCACCCATAATTAAAATAAGCACCTTTTTAAAATACCAACTCACATCATATTTTTCAATTTCCACCCGATTTTCACTCAAGATTTTAAAAACGAGATCGATGATATCGAACGGAAACAAAATTAAAACGAACCTAACCTAGAAATTCAGTCCTCTCAACCTGTCTAATAATGGGAACTAAGGTCTACGTTCAAATAAAAACTATCGAAATATTTGATTAGATAGTTAATCCAAATTGTTTTACAATAGTATTTGACAGTAGTACATTATTTATATAGGTAATAAATTAATTTCTTTAAATTATCGGAAAAAAATAAGAAAACTAACCTCTTGGTAATTTTAGAATGGAAAAATTTTTCGATATCGATAGTTCCCAATGTTCTCATTACTAGACCTGTTGTAATACATCGGTTCAATTCGGGTCTATTCAGCTAAAACCGATATCGCCTCATCCGGACGAATTTTGACCAACCAGCAAACGCCGATTTCCTTTGCCTTGCGGCTCACTCCCCGCAAACACCCAAGTTTAAGGAACCTTGAGACGAGAGAGATTTTAGCGGACCTTTGCATTTGCAACGAAAGGTATTCAGCACTCCTCTCACTTTTCGAGGGACGACAGGTCGCACCACGCGTATTGTTAATTTTGATTTAGTACTGATCGCATACTCTTTTGTTTCGAGTCTAATATTAGTTTGCAAATATAAAATTGAAAAAGTGGACTTTTTGTAAGTAAAATTTTAAAACACTGGTTTTATTTTATTGTATTAATTAAATTATAGGTTTGTAGACCTTTGTAAAATGAGTCAATCTAAAAAAAGAAAAGTTGATTTGGAATGCAGAAACTTCAATGAAGCTTGGACGGTAAAATATCTTTTTACAAACATAAATAAGAAAGCAATTTGTTTAGTTTGTCAGGAAACAATTGCTGTTTTTAAAGAATACAATTTAAACAGGCACTTTACTTAACATCCAAAATATGCATCACATTCTTTAAAAGAACTTCAAACTGTAGCAGAAAACTTGAATAAGCAACAAAATATTTTTACCAAACAAAGTAATATAGAGAAATCTACCACAAAAGCGAGTTATGTTGTCGCACACAAAATTGCTAAGTTCTGTAAGCCGTTTTCTGAGGCAGAATTTGTTAAACAATGCATGGTACAAGTGTCGGAGATATGTTGTCCTGAAAAGAAACATATTTTTGAAAATGTAAGCCTTTCAAGAAGAACAATAGTACGACGGATTGAAAATATTTCAGGAAACTTACTTGACCAGCTAAGAACAAAAATGGCTGATTTTACCTATTGTTCTCTGGCTTTAGATGAGTCCTGCGATATTACTGATACAAGTCAATTATTAATATTTATTCGCGGCATTAACAAGAACTGTGAAATTAGCGAGGATCTTCTTAGTGTGCATCCAATGAAAGATACAACTACTGGTGAAGACTTCTTTCTCGCTGTTGAAGGGTGTTTAGTTAAAGTAAGTTTAACTTGGAATAAAATAGTAAGCGTCACTACGGATGGTTGTCCTAGTTTAACAGGGAAAAATGTAGGCTTACTTAAACGAATTCGCGACAAAGTAAAAGAGTTACAACCAGAACACGATATATTATTTTTGCACTGCATTATTCATCAAGAAGTGCTATGCAGAAAAGTTTTAAAATTGAATCACGTCGTTACTGTTGTGACCAAAGTTGTGAATTTTATCCGAGGACGTGCCGTAAACCATCGACAGTTTGTTGAATTTTTGAAAGAAATTGAAAGTGACTTCTACGAAATTCCTTATTACACTGAAGTGAGATGGCTTAGCATTGGTAAAGTTTTGGACAGATTTCAATATTTGCTTGATGAAATAGTATCCTTCTTGTCGATAAAAGAAAAACTACATGATTTTCCTGAATTGCAAAATAGAGCTTGGCTAAACGATTTCTCATTTTCAGTAGATATCGTAAAATATTTGAATGAACTAAATATAAATCTACAAGAAAAACCAATTCGCTTTCAATATGCACTCAAACGTCAAAGCATTTATGACAAAACTCAATTTATTTACTGAAAACTTTAATAATAAATTATTAAATCATTTCCCCTCATTGCAAGCACGGCGAGAATCATTGAAAAATACAGATTTTTTTAAATATAGTGCAATAACACAAGACCTGCATTCTGAATTCCAAAGAAGATTTCAAGATTTCAAAGCTATTGAAAAACCTTTATCATTAATTAGCCAACCTTTCAATTTCGATGTGCAAGAGGCTCCTGTTGAAATTCAACTAGAACTAATTGACTTACAATCAAATAATTTACTAAAAGAAAATTTTCACTCAAACGAATTGAGTGCTTTTTATGGCGCTTTGAATAACGAACATTTCAAACATTTTTTGAACTATGTTCAAAAATACCTTGTTTTATTTGGTTCGTCATATATTTGTGAAAGAACTTTTTCTTTAATGGTTTCCACGAAAAATAAATATCGATCACAAATTACTGACGAAAATCTACACTCGGTATTAAGGATTGCTACAAGTGATTTGGAACCCAATTTTGAAGAAATAATGTCAGATGAACATTCGAGATTTCACGTTTCGCATTAACTTTAAATATTTATTTTAACGTTTGATGTTTTCTTTTTCTTTTTGAATTCTATTTACTATTATATTTACGAAATGCAATATAAATGTTAAATTGTAATAACTATGTGTCAATATAAAATAATTTGTATCGTTAAGACATAAATAAGTAACAAAGTAAAATGTTTCATTGACTGGTTTATCTAATAGCCATTTATTTATAAAAATATTTCTTTAAAAATTACGTGACATATTTTATTCAAGTTGAAATGATACTTAGTGTTTTTGTCAAAAAAAAATTGGCAGGGAAAAAACTCCATCCAAAACATCCGCTTGTGCAAAGCATATGCGGTATAGTCCTCCGGCCCGGGGGACATTTTGAAAATTTCGTTTTGGCCCGCGCTTTAAAGTATTTGCCCACCCCTGGTATAGATGATGCCGATAATGGCACCGACAAAAAAAGTGCCAAAATTGAGTCCTAACCCGTTCCAATTGACTTCGGCAAAACTTTACATTTTTTTATCTGAACAATATTACACAAACCACATGATAATATACTTGCATAACTTTTATTGATTTCCCTTATACATATATACTTTTAAAATGTAAAATATCTTAGTATAATATTTTGTCTCATATTAAATCCATCCCCTCCGACTAGGCCTACATTGTTATTGTGGTATTCCTCAAATATTCCTTATAAATTAATAAAATTGTTATTGACTGATTAGTAATGGTAATAGTTATTATGATATTCGATTGAATAAAAAGACACACGCTTGTGATTGGGCCACTCGTATGTGTTCGTGGTCTTTTATTTCTAGTCGCAAAAGACGTTATAAAGGCTTTAACGATTTAGCCCACGGCCACACAGAAAGCGATTTTTGCTTTTTAGCTTTTTTGCGTATGAAGCGCTTTTACGATTTTACCGTTTGAAGTTTTTATTTCGATTTGTGTCCATTAAAAACACGCAACAGAAGCGGCAGGTCTGCAATTTATATCAAGATGTCAATTAGTAACGTCGCAAGCTCGTGGATTTCCCGCCCGTTCAACAATCAATCCTGTGAGAAAGAGATAGGCGAGATCGACGCGGTTAGCGTTGAAAAGACGAAGATGAAAGATATGCTCGGATCGATTGTTGAACGGGCTGGATATTCGACGACAAACACAATCTACTGCTAGTGCCGGTGGTGTGTGTAGGATGGTAAGGGATGGTAATACCACCAAGGAGGTGGTATTACCAAATCAAAGTCAATGCCTGCACCATCATTAAGACAAATATTGTGTAGAATAGCACAGGCATTGACTAAGTTTCCAACTTTTTCTGGGAAATATCTCTATACTTTTGAGAGACACAAACATCTTCCCTTCATCATACCAATACACCGTTCAATACAATTTCTTTCCTACTATATTCTAAGCCATGTATACTACTATTTCTTCTAGACTACTACACCTTCTTAAGCCATGTATATGTGCTTGGGTATATCTATACTCGGGGGGACCTGGCAATGCATTTATCACTGGTCTCATCAACCAAGGTTCTTGAGGATACCCTGAATCCCCCAACAACCAACTGTTTCTTTCACCTATTAAACAAAAACGTAGAAACCTACAAACATAATATTTGTTTACTTACCCCTTTGGTAATTTCTTTCCAACTCTGCTCGTACCGCTGAATTTCTCCAAATGAACGAATCGTGTGTAGCACCAGCATATCTACTATTAATATTTATAATTTTTAAATTGTGATCACAAATCTTAAATATTAAACAATTAATCACTCATCAAACTACAGTAATTCCTAAAACACAATTTACCAACTGAATATTCTTTGATTGATAACCCTTTCTGTTGATATAGTTGTGTTCCTCTACCAATGGTCTTAATATTTCAACGTGGGTACAATCTAGAGCCCCTACGACTCCAGAAAAGTTAAACTTTTCCATAAATCCTTCTTTAATTATGTTTTTCGCTTGGGGTGTTGTTGGAAAACATATCCATTCTTCTGCCAATGTATTTACAATTGCAGTTGTAACTTCTTCTACCGCTCGTGACATGCTCTGTTAGGACATGGATATATCAAATCCACGACCAACTACCGCCTGGTAGGCTCCGGTAGCATAGAATCTTAGGACTCCAAAAAATTTTACAATATTAGGAATTGCAATTTCATTATAAACGTATTGCGCAGCATCTTTGTTTAATCTGAAAAGCACTTTAAATCTTATGTCATAAACTGCGAAGGGATTGCTTTCATTTCGCAATAAACGCCGTTCTAAATTTTCAATGCCGTATTTCTTCTAATCTATATTCTTCTTTTGCTGCTACAATGTTTAACAAATTTTTCGCCAACATTTTTAACTCACACAAAATTTAAGACTTAATGCAAACAAAATGTTTATGAGATTAATGCATGATTAATGCAAAAATAATAAATACAAAATACAAATCGCCATAAAACATCAACAAATGCCATCCATTATGCATTCCATAACCAACAATAAAATTTATCAATGCAAGACTTAAATTAGGGTTTGCGCATGCGGGAAATTGAATTTGATACCTTCCGCGATTTTTTTTATTTTATTATAGACCAGCAGATTAAATCATATCTTGTTGTACTACTTTTTTAATCGCAATGGTACGTTTGTTCGGGGCAAATGGGCTAAAATGAAAAAAAAATGAGAAAAAAATGTTGAGTTGTCAAATTTGACAGCTGTCAAAAAAATTTCAAAGTTGTTCGATTTTGATAATAATCGATATATAGGATGGCCATGGGCTAAAGTGAAAGAAAAACAATTGAGCTGTCAAATTTGACAGCTTTCGAAAAAATTTCAAAGTTGTTCGATAAAAATTGATATATAGGATAGCCATGTGCTAAATTGAAAGAAAAAAAATTGAGCTGTCAAATTTGACAGCTGTCAAAAAAATTTCAATATTGTCCGATTTTGATAAAAAATCGATATATGAGTTTCAGTCAATGGTAGTAATAAAAATTTGAAAAAAAGTGTTAAAAAGCAAGATTTCAAAATCATTTTGGGGCCAAAATTGAACTTCTTTGAAATACTTTGAATTCGATAACTTCTAGAATATTAAGATTATTTAACTTTTTTTAGATTTTTTTTAGTTAAAAACCATAATTATACGATCAAACGAACTTACCTGAAGTGAAGTTCGATCGTAATTATATGAGGCGTCCAGTCCGAATGTATTATCTTGATTTTTCTATACGTAGTACCGTCCCTGCGTGCACAATTTTAAAGCTATAAGCTAAATTCCCTCCCGTTGCTAGTCTAGGTGGCGGCGCCGGCCCTGGCGCGGCGGTCGGTATTCATTTTTCAAAGATTTATTCATTAATTCAAGCGACCATGGGGCAAAACGGGAAGGGTGGGAAGACAATACATTCGGACTGGACGCCTCATATCATTACGATCGAACTTCACTTCAGGTAAGTTCGTTTGATCGTACAATTATATTCGCGTCCAGTCCGAATGCATTATCTTGATTTTTCTATACGTAGATGTTTAAAGAACTGAAGGTTGCAAATTAATGAATGCGGTGCAGAAAGCATTTTTTTATACAAAAATAGCTGAAATTATAAATATGTTTATTGAATGCAACCAAAATGAACCAATTTAACGGCCATCAATACATGGATTTATTAAACTGTGACAATTTAACATATACATATATGCATACTAAGCAGAGACAGAAACCCATAAGATGGCACTTCCATAAAGGATTCTGCCAAAATTGTTCATTTATACTTTATAAACTAGTTAACTAATCGTGTCGATAGAAATCCCTGTCTCAATGTAGAACTGCGTGGATAACTCACTATAGTAGTGAGGCGATATTATATATATATATATATATATATATATATATATATATATATATATATATATATATATATATATATATATATATATATATATATATATATATATATATATATATATATATATATATATATATATATATATATATATATATATACAGTAATACCCCGACTTACGCTACCTCGACTTACGCGAATTCGGAGTTACGCGATTTAATTTTCTCGTCTATTCGTTTTTTGTTTGAACGCCGTGCAGTCAAGGTCAAGCGGCGGCGTTTGTTTCTGACTCCCCCCGCCCGCATTATTATTCGTTCAGTTTACAACAAGCACATACGTGTAGTGCGGAATCGGCGCGTAGGTACATAAGTTACGATTTTGTGTTTTTTTGTGCGTTGTGCGACGACCTGAGATATTTACTAAGTACTATGGCATCCAAACGAAGTAGAACCGACTCTTTTGCTTTAAACAAGAAGAGAAAAACATTATCTTTGGAGTGTAAACTTAACATTATTAAAGACTACGATGCAAAAATAAAAATTTGTGATTTAGCGAAGAAGTATGAACTTCCGGAATCGACAGTCAGATCAATTACGAAAAGTAAAGAAAAAATTCTCGAAGCTGTGAAAAATGCTCAGTCTTTGAATTCAAGCATCATTCGTAAACGGCATGGTATTATCGCTGAAATGGAAACATTGTTAAAATTATGGTGTGATAATCAAGTAAGTGTGAAAAATTGTCCTATTGATCAGAACACGGTGTGCTTTCAAGCTAAACAAATTTTTGAGAAATTAAAAGAAGAAGCTGGGGAGATGGCTAAAGATGAAACGTTTAAAGCCAGTAACGGTTGGTTCAGCCGGTTCAAAAGTCGCTGTAACTGGCATAGCATTGCAGAAAGTGGAGAGGCGGCAAGTGCAGATAAAGAGGCAGCATCTCTCTATCCAGAGAAACTCAAAGCTATGATAAATGAAGGTGGCTATACCAGCCAAACCATATTCAACGTAGATGAAACTGGCCTATTTTGGAAGAAGATGCCTAAAAGAACTTTTATTGCGCGTGAAGAGAAAACTTTTCCAGGTTTTAAGGCCGCCAAAGATCGATTGACAGTGATGCTTGGCGCGAATGCAGCTGGTGACTTTAAATTAAAACCTCTCTTAGTTTATCGCTCGGAAAATCCAAGAGCATTGAAAAACAAATCTAAAGCTGGTTTGCCCGTGATTTGGAAGTCGAATCGTAAAGCTTGGGTGACGGCCTCCCTTTTTGAAGACTGGTTTGGTCATCACTTCATACCTGAAGTCGAACGTTATTGCCAGTCTAAACAAATCCCGTTTAAAGTGATGCTATTAATCGACAACGCGCCAGGTCATCCTCCTGCTACTTTAACTAGTTTCGACCCACGTGTGAAAGTTGAATTTTTGCCACCAAATACAACCAGCTTGCTTCAACCGATGGACCAGGGCGTTATCAAAACATTCAAAGCTTATTACACGAGACGATCGTTTGCACATCTGCATGAAGCTATGAGACAAAACAACGAGCTCTCTGTTAAAGAATTTTGGAAACAATTCAACGTTTTAGAAGCAGTGAGAATCATTGGAGAATCTTGGAATGAAATTTCACAAAAAACTTTAAATGGCGTCTGGAAAAAACTCTGTCCATTTTTTTTCTCCACTATGACTCAGGCGGAATTAGTGTCAGGGCCTGATGAAATTTGCAATGTGATCAAAGACGTTGTCGAACTTGGTAGACAAATAAATTTAGAAGTGGATAGTGATGATGTTCAAGAGCTGTTGGATTCACACAATGAGGAGCTTACAATTGATGAGCTCATAACAATGCGTGAACAAGAGGAAGAAATTGATAATCATGATTCTTTGGATCCAGTTCAATTAGAAGATCAAATGACAGTTGGAAACTTGACAGAAGCCCTCAGTTCGATTGAAAAAGGGTTAACAATTTTGGAAAGCATAGACTCCAATGAAGAGCGCAGTTTTGTTACAAAACATGGAATAAAAAAATTACTAGGATGCTACGAGGAGATATTACGGGAGAAGAAAAAATCATTGACTCGTCAGACGACTTTGTTACAATTTATGAAACCTTCTACATCAAAATAACTTCGGATTGTGTTTATACACTCTATTAATATAGTTTGTATATTGTATTGTCATATTATTTAGAATTAGATACTAATTATTTCCTAAATTATTGTTTTATTTAGTCTCCAGTCCCAATTAAACATACTTTGTATGTCTTTATATGCAAAATTGTACCCCGACTTACGCGAATTCGACTTACGCGGATAGCGCTCAGTCCCACCTATCGCGTAGTCCGGGGTATTACTGTATATAATATATATATATATATATATATATATATATATATATATATATATATATATATATATATATATATATATATATATATATATATATATATATATTTTAAGGTGTTTCTAACCCATTGCTTAATATTTAAAAGACCTTACTTTTTAAGCCATTAATAATAGACAACATTTGAATGTTAGACTTTGGTAGTAGGAAATTAAGATTCTCAATAATTTATTTTCCAAAATGCTTTAATTACGTCGATGAATTAAACCAGAGTCATCATATAGATTAGATTTCGATGCATACATTGGTATGGATATTATGGACATTGATATAAAGTAGACACAGATATTGATCTGTGTCAATTTTATACCAGAAGTTTTATTATTATTTGTATTATTTATTTTTTTTTATAATTTTCAGTAACTATGATATGCATATATAATTATATACTGACTAAAAACAAACTGACATCTGTCTCTGATAACTAAGGTTAAACGTGAAACCAATATATGATTTATTATTTTTCATAGCCAGTTCACGGCAAGAATTATATAATCTATTTATATACATAAAACTGCAAGAAAACTATTTCCACTTTATGATTTAATTGATATGTCTATTCTTTCCGAAATTTCTAGATAAGAAAGTAACTGTTAGGGAACATTTATGGTAAAATTTTAATGCAGTAAACCTTAGACACATCATATCTTACAAAAGCCTCTTTCAACGAGAAACCATCCAGAGATATTTAAGAAAAAATTCAAAGTCTGTGAAAGTTTACATTAATGTTATTATAATCATCTCTTTCGAAAGTGTATTGTAGAGGAGAAAATATATATTATATACTGTAAGAAAAAACTAACTTTTTGTTTCGATAATTTGCACA